TTAAATAAAGCTACACTAAAATAAAATAATTGTGCATACTGCACGTCCACAACCTTGTACATAACCACTTATTTGACCACAACATGTGGCCAATACAGACCCATTACTCACATGACAACAACTATAAAATAGAAAATAAACCAACATTAACTGTTAAACTAAAACAATTGAAAATAAACTGAAGAAGGTAACAAGAATAAATACGTCATGTGGCCAAAAGCATGAGACATCTCTTCTTTGTTTAAATCAAGTTTTGGCGCAAACTAACTCCTGGTAACTCCTTATTTTGTTCTTCAAGTCAAGTCTCTTTCTTCAATACATGTCTCACATGATCGATGAGCAACTTGGACTTTACAATAACACCATCAGTATATAGATCTCCATAAATTTGTTGATTATATCACGTAAGAAAGTGTTCATAGCTCTTTGATAGGTGGCACCTTAGGCCAAATGGCATATGGACCTTAGACATTTGAAAACTATCTTGAGGATATCTTTTTTTACAATGAAAATTTGATTATAGCTATTGTGATCGTCCATAAATGATCAATTTTCGCATATGGTTACTCCATTTATCAACAAATATACCATTAGCATTAGATATTCATCCTTGGGTGTTGTAGCATCCAATTTCTAAAATTAATATAAACACTTAACTTACCATTTTTCTTTACCATTAGCATAATGTTAGAAAGTCACTCTTGGTATTTAACAATTAAAATACCCTATGTTTCAACAATTTTTCTACAGTGAACTTCAACTTTACTTTATTAGACATCCTTCTAGCTAGTTGACTGCTTGAAAGATCTACATTTCATTTGATTGGAAAGTTATGGACTACCAACTTTCTATCTAAACCAGGCATTTCTCTATAATCTCAAATAAAACAATTTTATACTCATTGAAGGTTCAAATCATTCTTGCTTGCATTTTTGGTTCTAACAATTGGTTAACAAAACATGATTAATTAATTATATCTGGATTGGTTTTAAATAAGTTAAGCAAGTTTAATATTGGTGAATTAATACAATTAGTATACAAAACATAATTACCTTACACCCAAACTCATTTAAATCAGTGTCATGTTCATTTCAAATTGTCATGACATATATAGAATTACCAAAGTCTAGATAATCTCTTCAACCATTTGTTAGATGCATATTGGCAGAATCGATCTACGTAATCAATCTCCTTAAAGGTCAGGATTATTTTGACTATTAGAAACGCCTTCTGCCCACATGTCAACCATCAATTAATCGAGATATGGCATAAGCAAGTATGGTATGGTACTCTGTTTATACTAATTGATGTACTATTGATTAAAACTATACATACATATATATACATATCCAAAATCACTTACCAATTAAAGTGAATAAAGGTTTCAATTAAGCGGCCGGTGGGATGAGAGAAAAAAGAGTAAAAAAAAAGAAGGAAAGACTTGCAAACAAGGGATTCAAAAAACGATATACCTAATCACGAAATGAAGTGATGAATATGGTTAATAATCCTTTAAAT